ATCTAAAAAATAAATTTTTTAATATAATTTTTATAGCAAATAACCGTTATAAAAAAAATTATTACAAATTTTAAAACCGAAATTAGTCTTTGGAATCCAACTTGCCATAAAGTTTTGGAGGTTTAAAGAATATAATAAAATGTATAAAACGCTAGTTTAAAAAATTATTAAAAAGTAAAAAAAAAAAGTAGATCGATTGATGTTTTGATTACAGATTTTTATATATCTCGAAAAATCGATGAATTTCACTTTACTATGTCGATCGGAAATATTTCCCCGGTTTCTAAAATAAATTTGACCGGTTGTTACACAAATCGCGAATTAAAGATCAATTATAAACTCTGCTTTTAATGAAGAAAGATTATTTCAACTTTAATTAATTTGGCATTCTTGATTTTATAATATATATATTTCACGATATATTACTCAGATGATCAAAAATCGATAAAGAAAATTTTTACTATATAACTATTTATATTATTTATATTATTTAGTAATCACGCACGTCACAAAGTATTTAAATTCAGTCTTACAATTTAATGTGCGTTTCATCTGTATAAATTTGAGCATGTCAATGAACAACTGAAGTTTCAATTGCAATTAGTTTAGGGAACCAGTCGATAACTTTTGAACAGAATCAAACCAAGAACATTCCTGATTCACTATTAGAATAGGCCAGTTTTCGGTTTGCGGCTTCCTCGTTGTGATACAAATGGTTCAAGGAATAAATAAAATGACTAGTGAAAAATGGATGATATTGAATTCTAAAATATGTGATACAATTATATGAAAAGCTAGTTAAACAAAATGGTCTTAGACTTTAATCAGAATGATATCGCTATTAGGATAGACGAGTTTTGGTTTGCGGCGACTCGTTGCAGTTAAGTGCGATACAAATGATTCAAGGAATAAATGAAAAATGGATGAATGAACGAACGAACGAAATTAGTGAATTCCAAGACTTGTGATACAATTACGCGAAAAGATTGAAACGTATGAAGATGATGTTGAAAACAATATATTCTTGATTGGCAGAACTGGTAGTGGCAAATCCACCTTAGCTAATGAAATTAGAGTTGGTAATAAATTTGAAGACTAAAAACTTCCAAAACGAAGTCTTTAAGTATGAAGGAATTAAATATCGAGTTATGGGATTTTTGGGTGTTCGACTTAGTATGAACGTAACCCCGAAATAATAAATACATACTTTTATAAATAATATAATTTTTTTAGTGAACCAAGAAAACTTTTATAATTAACTAATAAAATTTTATATTATCTTAAATTTTTATTACATGCTATTGTATTTTATAATACACCTAATTCTTTTTTTTCTTCTCTAAATTAGCTATTTAAAGCCTCAGCTTCAGCCATAGCTTTTTTGGTTGAGACTTCCTGAACAAGAATTTGAAGTTCACGTTCCTTAAGTGTCATTTTCTTTTTCTAATTCAAAATTCATATTTTCATTATTGATAGGCAATTTTATGAGGCGAAAATTTTTGCAAATTTCTCCTCATAAAATTTACTGATGTTATTTCCTTTCTTCTTTTTAAATTTTCTTTGGTAGTATTTGTTACATCTAGGGATGTAAAAGTCCTGGACCAATCTGGTCCTGGTCCTAGAGCAAAGACAGACCGAACCTGGTCCTGTAAGACTAGTCCTAGGGCAGTTCAGGACCTGGTCTTTATACAGAAAATTGCTAAAGCTCACTAGGCAAAATTAAAACTAGGGGTTGATCAGAAAATTATATAATATTGCCTGGTAATGTCAATTTAGAAATATCTTTTAATATTTTCGCCGATTCTAAATGAATGTGAATCAGAATCACACGAGCAAATTAGTAATAAATTGATCATAGTAAAATAAAGATTTTTTCGAATCTCATTTTTATTGGTTCTATTTCCTTTAAAAACAAAATATAACAACTTTCAACTTGTGACCTTATCCCAGAACTTCATTGCAGTATATATACAATAAATTGGAACTTTTTTACTAATAAAAAAAATTATAGTGATGAAAGATATGAAAGTTCAAATAAAAATTCAACAAAACAAATAAAAATTAATAAATTCTATGACCATTGGCCAAAATTAATATTAATTTGACTGAAATTACCAAAAATTTTCGAATTATATGTCATACTTATAAAATCATATGAAAATAAAAAAATTTAATATTTAATAAAAATAGACAATTCTTTTTTTTTAGTTGTACAATTTTTTTTGTCACATTCTGATATCCAAAAAATTTTACTTTAAGGCTAAAAAAATAAATAAATTCCCAATAAATTAAAGAATAATTTTCCTGAATTTCAATATCTTCAACTATGCAAAATTTAAAGTTTGTTAACTTCATTTAAAAAGTATTAAACAAGTGATTCAAGAAATATAATAAATATAATGCTCACTTTCACTTATATCATTAGGGATTACAAAATCACATTGTTTTGAATCTAGAATTATGATTAATATAAATATATTATCATTTATTTATTGCTAAAAATATAGGTACTTACTGTGTGTATTATTTTCAAATTTTTTTGATTTCAAAAAAGGCAAATATCTACTTGTATATATTGCTTTGGGATGCATTACAATTGGATCATATTGAATAAAATTCTTGTTTGATTTATTTGCTGCTCTAACTTGTCCCTTTATTTCACCATCATGAGAATATTTATTAAGTTGAGATTTCAATTTTTCAGCAGATGGACGATTGAGAGGTTCAAAATTTCAGCATTTTTCCATTATTTCTTTGAAAAATTGAGGAATTTCACATTTGATTTCAGGTTTATACCCTTTGCAAATTTCATTACAAGACTTAAATCATGTGAAAAATATTAGTCTGGCGGATAATTAGTTAGAACTTCTAACATAATCATACCAAAAGAATAAATGTCAGATGCTTGAGTGCATTCTCCTCCACTTAATGTTTCAGGTGACATATATGGAATTATACCATAAATATTTTCCGGATCATTTTTTGAAACTGGTTTGCACAATCCAAAATCAGTAATATGTCATAAAACTATATTTTGATTAACTTATTACCAGAATGAAAATTTTTATGCATTAAGCCCATTTCATGGATATTTTTAAGTCCTTTTACAATAGATAATAGAATAATAGATTTTCCCTTCCAAGTTAATTTTTTAAATTTGTTATTCAATACTTTTCGAAGATTACCATATCTTGCATAACTCATAACCATCATATATTCATTTTTGTTGGATTTTTAGTGATGCCATTTGCATTTTTACCTCTAAACTTAAGTTGATTTTCAATCTAAAATATTTATTAACATAAAATATAATTATTATATAATTAAAATTATGAAAATAAATAACATAAAATATTTACCTCTTGCAAAAAATAATTTTTATTTGTGAAATTATCAAGACTTTTTAAGCAAACATCTAGTTTCTGATACTGATACCTTTCCCAATTTTTTACTACATAATTCCAAGATAAAATAAATCCATCAAGCCAAATTGTTTTATATACTGTGCCAAAACCCCTTTAGCAAGGAATGTGGCATTCTCAAGTCTGTCAAATGGAATCCACTCAATAATTTCTTGACGTTTATCTGCATTTAGTTGTATTTGTTAAATAAATTCATCAATTTCTTTATCCTCGCTTGTCCATTTATCAAATTCATTCTGAAATTTTTTTGACATTACAAGAATGGCACCAATCTCTTCCAGTATTATCTTGATTGCATTCACTACACTTTAATTAATTATCAATAATATTCTCAGTGTTCTTGTAAAGAATTATTATTTGATATTTAATTAAATTAAAACATTGATTTCAATAATTATAAAATTAAATACTCACTCGCTGTAATATAATTTATATTGATTAGTTTATGATTGATTAGAGAATTGTTATATAATATTAAAACATTGATTTCAATAATTATAAAATTAAATACTCACAGTCTGTAATATAATTTATATTGATAGTTTATTATTGATTAGAGAATTGTTATATAATATTAAAACATTGATTTCAATAATCATAAAATTAAATACTCAGATGCTGTAATATAATTTATATTGATTAGAAATGTAATTTAATATTTGTAATTATTATTAGCAATTATGATTTAAAATAAAGTTTAATATAACAATATGCTACACTTCCGAATCTTCCGATTTTTCCAATTCTTCTGTTTCTCTCATTTCTTTTATTTCTTTATTCCTTCTCTTTTAAATCTAAAAAAAGGCTTTATCGGATTTAAATAAATTCCATTTTGTACAATAATAATGATTAGAGATTATCTTTTCTTTTTTTGAATGCAACTCAAAAAAATATGTATAAATACTGTTAAAGAGATGCGATCAGAGACTTAAAAGAAAATTTACATAGCACAAATAATCTAAGCATCAGGAATTTTAAAAACCGTAAATTTACGTAACATTACAGTTTTTAAAATTTCCTGATGAAATATTTGCTTTGAAGTCAACGAACGACTGAGATATTTGAATTCAAAATTGCCAACGCAAAAAAAAAAATCCACGTTAATGAACCAACCTTCATGATACTTGATCCATAATACATTATCAAATATTAATACAGCTAAGTGCTTTTAAAAGTATTTCTTTATAATCAATTGTATAGTATTATTATTAATGAGTAGTTTATTGAATTTAATTCATCGCCTCCAATTATAGAAACAAGAAATTTTTTAAAAAAGGATTAAAGGAAACAAACAAATCTCTCAATGATACCATGACAGCATTTATTCATAAGTTGAACTTATATTATATTATTAATTTTAGCATTTTATAAATATTGAATCGCTTTATCAAATAAATTATTTTATAAATTCAAATGAAGATATATGAGAGATTTAATCTCATATTATCATCTTCGTTATATTATTATTATATTCATCATTATTATTATGATTATTACTCTTATATCTTCGATATAATATTCTTGACAAGTTAAAATAGGCTTTTAAACTTCAATAAAATATTTAATGTTTATGCTAAAATAAGCTTATATCTTCGTTAATTATTAATTGTACTAAATATATATGTATGCTTGTCTTCGATTCCATCTTTATTATCTTCAATACTCTGGCCAAAAATATATAAACTTATTTTATAAAAAAATAAATAAATATTAGATGGTATTGCAAATTCCAATTATTATTGTTGTTGTTGTTATTAAACTGTTATTGTAAAATTATTATTATAAAATTCACAAAAATGAAATTATGATTATTTTGCTTACCATCATACTAAATATTAAGCTTTAACGAAAACAGACTTGTATTTTGATGTCATTCTTTTCGTCACAATATCTACTTAGGTCCTTTTTTTAGTAATGTGATCAAGAATATTGTGAAATGGAAAAAAATTATGTAAAGATTTTAATTATTATTGTATAAATTATTGACACTAGATGAATTTCGTTACAATAATCTGATATGTTGAATCTTTAGAAAGAACTGAAATACATAGAATGAAATATGAATATTTTAATATATATTTTGATATAATATAATTTAGAAAAATATCAAAAATTATCTTAAAACGAGGTTTTCTTAATCACTTTATTGACGACTCAATCAGAAACATATGAAAATCCACGGAATTCATCTTGGTTATCTGTGTTTAAATGACTGTTAACGGGAGGTCGTTCTTTCGTGAATTCTTCATTGAAATTTAAAGTATCAGTTGGAGAAAACTAAAATACCAATTTTCGCATTAATAATTTATATTAGTTTTTGTATCATGACCAATATGAATCTGATCAAATTTTGAAATTACAATTAAATAATTTCGCTATATACGATATACATATTTGAAATTACCTTCTGCAATATTGAAACAGAAACCCTAGATATATTTACAGGATAAAGAATTTCATCTTCCAAGATCGCGTCAAATATCTTATCTTCATCATCACCTCGGAATGTTATTCATATACCAAATGCCCACCAATCTACTGCACTTTCATGTTGCCCCATTTAATAATTAAAAAAAATTTTTTTTAAATATTCTTTGATGTCGTAAATTCTGACATTCCACAAAATGTATTTGTCGTGTTTCCATGTCACGTTTCTTCTTTGCAAAGACCGTAGTCAGAAATTTTTATATGTACGTCAAACGTAAGCAATATGTTGTGAAAAAGTTTAAGATCTCGGTATATGATACCCTGCTTATGCAAATATTCTAAAGCTAGTAAAACCCTCGCCGCATAAAACCTGTTGGTTTTAATAAAAATTTAAAAAGTAAATTCCTGAAACTCACAAATGAGTAAATTCGTATTGATAAACATTATCTCGAAACCTGTTCTCTTTAGATGTGTAACATCAAACCACTACCGCTGACATACTCCATAACAAAATAAATACGAGTGTCGCCTGAAAACAAGAATGCAATCCTAATAAGAATGGATGACGTTCTCAATTGGCCACGCTTTTCGGATCAAAATAGTTAAAAAATGGATTTGTATATTAGAATAACAATCCTCGTAAAGTTTGAATTCATTTTTACAAACCTATACGAAAAGAAATTCATACCTTTCTACTTCGTCATTTTCAATGATAAATTCTTTGTTTAACACTTTATAGCATAAAGTGGCTTAGAATATTTTTCTTCAGCAAGCATAACCTACATTATGATGATTTTTTAATCTATTTTAAAGAGTTGACCGGTCTAATATTAAACATACTTGATGCATATTAAAGTGTACAAACGAACCTTGCCAAAGTTTCTTTTACCCCAGGCCAACTTTACGGGTATGCTTAATAAAAGAACTATCGGATGGAACAACGGGATTAGATGAAGAGGCCTGTGTTTTATTGATGTCATAAATAAAAAAAATTTAGGTTATTATAAATTATGAACGATAAAAACTTATCATAAAATAATATTAATACCATTTGCTTTTGCTGTGCAGGAGTCATTCCTTGTGATTGAAGTAAAGTTATAACTGGTGTTTGACCATATTGATTACGGATTTCCTCAGTACCTTAACAATCATATTGTTGCATTGGAAGATATGGCATTTGGATTTGAGAAGGAATGGATTGCGAAGGAGTAGCTGGAAGACGAGAGTATTGATGGTCTTGTATTTTACCAACATTTAGCTCTCGACTACTATTAGAACGACTTGATGCTGACGAAATGCTTCTTGCTATTTGAATTTGTTGGATCATCTCATTGGCACGTCTCATAGTCATTCCACAAAAATTCGGTAGAAATGGATGCATCTCTTGCATGACATGTTATATTACATTCTGTAACCAAACCCGGTTTTAATTAAATTAATGAAAAATATTTTTTAACAAAAAGAGCTGACTTCATAGTGCTCGTATATACCAGTACATCTCTTGGTGCTCCTTTTTCCAAGAGGGAGAATATAACCACAATGACAACACAATTTGCTGTAATATCGATTGATGATTTCTTCAAAGCGATGTGAAATATTATGTTTATACTCTGAATCCTTAAATTAAGTTTAATACATAAGAATTAAGAATAAAGGATGATCGATTCTTTACCATTTCTGCCATCGCATCATTAGTCTTGGAGATACATTTGGTGACCATCTCTTAATATAACATGTTAATTTACTGTCTGCAAGAAAGAAAAAGGTAGTTAACAAGTTTATATAAAACAATGTGAGAAAATTTTGCTATGAAAAACCTACCATCATATTGAAATTCTTCACAATACAAACAACTCATAATTTGATAGAATATTTGTTGAATAAATTTGTGCCCTTACGTTTTCGAAAAGCGTCTGCTCGACCAAGACATCATTGGGATGTTTTCGAGCATTTTCTTTAACTAATCATTAGGTTTCAAAAGATATACTGCACATTAATAATTCATTTATCGTTTTTAATTAGCACTTAATTTAATTGATTTGCAGGATGAAAAAATCTAATAAGAAAAGATTTATTACCATTTTATATTACAGAAAAATGATGAATACCTTCGAACAATTGTTGATAGGACACGGTGGAACTCAAGTTATCTTACATGGAAACGTTTAACAAAATTAAAGATCTTATTGATGTTTTGGAATCTACCATGTTGATTGGCCCTGATCCTTCAATGCGACATGATGGAAAACGATGATTTTGCTGAATCTAACCGAGTGGAAGACCATCAGTCTAACATATAATATATTAACAGTAAATGGTTAAAAAATTTAGTCCAGAAAAATTAATATTAATATACCACTAATCTTAAAAATTGTGTTAAAGTAGCACTATATCAATCGGTGAATCATTGTTGGAAAGTTGCACAGGAACGGGGAATGTTGACTGCTTTGTTGAATCCACGATTTAAAGAACTTGAATGTTTTAAAATAATGCTATTAACGTTGACGAAGTGGCTAGTTATTTGGGTCATTCCGGTAATTGCCCTTTGTTATGGTAGAGAAATAGTAAGAATCGATTTCCAATATTATCAAAATTAGTAAGGAGGCATTTGGCCTTTCAACCCTAAGACTTTTTAGCGAAGCTAATGTAATGACCATAAAAAGTACACATAATTGCATCAAATATATTAGAAGAATTGGTATTTATTTGGAGAGGTTTTTCCATTAAAATGTTAAATTGAAAAGTATATTGAAAAAATTAATTCGATTAAAAATAATAAATTGAAAGTAAAAAATTAATTTATTTTTTTTTTTTTTTGAATTTAAGGAAACAAACAGCAGAGTTAAAAAAATAACAAAATTTATTTATACATTTTTTATTAAATATCATATCAAATATTATATTATATTATTGATTTAGCATTTTAATAAATATTAAATCGCTTTCATCAATTTATTTTATAAATTTGAATTTATTAATAGATATATTCAAATCCCAAATTAACCGTTATTGATATATTCATTATCATCGTCATCATCACATAAAATTCATATTATAATTAATATATTCACCATCAATCGCCATCCGCTGTTATTATTATTATCATCATTACATTCATTACATTGAAAAATAATAATTGATTTTATTATTGTTATAGTTGTTTTTACTATTGTTAAAATTATTATTCTTCTTCTTATATCTTCGATACGATATGTTTATAAAGTTAAAATATAAAATATTTAATGTTGAAATATCCCAAAAATCCAAAATCAATTTTGGAAACATATATGATTTACTAATTGCCGTTATACCACAGAAATTCTTTACTTATGACAGTGAAATGTATTCACAACAATTATTATTTAATCAAAAGAAATTCTCTAAAAAACTGCTTCCGATAGATTGTAAAATATCAAAAAATGTTATTAAATGTCTAGCTTTTCATATCATTACTCATTAGTGCGCGACTAGGAATATAAAGATGATGAACATAAATAAAAATTAACGAATAAATATTAGATAAAGTTGAATAGACATCAATCAAATTTGTTCATAGGATAGCTATAGTTTATTTTTGTTTATACACAATCCAAACTTGTGATATGTGATATCGAATTAGTCAATTTTCCAATATTTTAATAGTCAAAAAAGAAAAAAAGCAATAAACAACATCAGCATGAAAAATCCAAACAAGCAATAACAATTGAAGTAAAATGCATCGACACAGCGGTTCTTGGATCTTAAAAAATTTGAATATCATAAAAATGATAATAAATGATATACGATAGTTAAAATCTTCACATTATTTATGTTGTTTCAATGCAAACTCATTTAAGATTTAGCATCAAAAATATAACCGTAAGTCAAGTAAAAGTATGATAATTCATTTGAAATATTATCTTACATTCATAAATCATAGTTGTTACATAAAAAAATAAAGAGATTTTTTTCTTTTAAATGATTGAGCCAATTGATTTATACGAGAATCAACAATTTAGTTACCATTATCTCTTTCCAAACAATTATTAAAAATGTTTATTAATATTCAAATGGTTAATATTTCAAACATTCTATCATGCACCAGTTAAAAAAAAATAATAATAATTAATAATTTAAAAAAGAAGTATTAGTATTTTTTATTGTAAATATATCTTATCGAATAACGACATCTATTATTTGCACACAGTAGAATAATTTTTGGATGAAAAAGTTTGAAAATTCTAAAAATTTTTTTTCCTTTTATTACTGTTTGTATTGTATATAGCTTCACCGAAATCATTTTGTAATGTCCTCAAGAAAATAGATTTATAGGTTAAATATTATTAAGTTATCAATCCTTACGATAATAAATTCATTTGTAAAACTATTATTACGGATTTAAAAACAAATGGTTTTTCGGAAAAATTTTATAAAAGTATGTAAGTCAGTAAGAAAATCTTATGTGATTATTATTTTCTTATATCAAATGAATTTCTTTATTTTTCTTAACCAAAGAAAAATAAACTGTTAAGATAAATGTTAAATTCAGATTTCAATAAAAAATTATGCGAGACGAGATTTTTAATAAACATCTCTTGTGCAACGTATTTAAAACAAACAAACAACATAGCATGGATGCATGGATGAGATACCATTAATATACATACAATGGTACTATTTAATAATCCTTTTTGGGAAATTTGACCTAAATAATCAATATGTTTCACGTAAACATCTCATATATGATTATATGACTTTAATATCTTTTATTCTATTAATTCATTTTATTCATCTTTCTCCGGCTTTCATTTCTTCTGTGATTTTACCTTTATATTGTGACTCAACAATTATTCCTAAAGAAAAAGAATTCTCTATTTCAACGAAGCGACAAAATTAATACGCCTCCACGAATGTATATATTTCTTCACAATGCGTCAAAGAAAAATTAAAACTGAACGAAGACGAGGCCTACAAGATATGACAGAAAGAGACGGAATGACTCCATGGGTTATTTTTTCTTTATTGGTTACGGCATGTTTCTGTAGTCCTTGTTTATCCATATTTGGAGGAATGAAAAATTCTGGGGTTAGACAAGCATGGCGCGAAAAAGTTGCTTTATGTTTTATCATTCTATGCATTTCAGCATTCACGGGATTCTTGACCTTTGGTTTTTCAACTATTACTTGCACTAGAAGACATCTTTTATTTCCAGATGAAATTCTACAAACATATGGTCCTCAAGTACCTGGTATGAAAGTAAATATTGTTCGTGGAAAGCTTTATAATACAAGTGATTATTTTTCAAGAGGTTTGCATCCACCTGTTGACCCAGCCATTATTACACCACTATATGGAAATGATATTTCGGGTTTCTTTCCTCCAGATAATAAAGTTTCGGGATGTAAATTTTCGCCAAAGAATAATGGATCAATTTGCACTCAATATCATTGTCATACTTCACCTGCCTCATTTGAGGCTTTACAATCTCTTAATTTAAATTTGGTTGTAGGTTACACTTGGGATAATGTTACCAATGGTACAAATAAAATGTTTGTGTTTAATGGAAAAGTTTATGACATCACGAATTATCTTAAATTATCTGCTAGTGATCGATGGCTCGGAGGCGCAAATGTTACTGAATGGCTAACCAGTCTTGTAGGTAGAGATGCTACAAAGGATATTGCAAGTACTATCGAATCAAAAGATATAGTGAAATGTTTCAATTATTTTTTGATTGGACAAATTGAGGGTTCAACTTTTGAATGTATTATTAACAATTTAGTCCTTATTATAATGACGACTGTATTCACTGGAATTATGCTCTCCAAGTTTTTCTTAGCTGCAATCTTTAATTGGATTTTATCATGGAAATTAGGTAAAATTTCAAAAAGACAAAGAAGTTATGATAAAATTTCTCACATTATATTATTAGTGACATGCTACAACGAAGGTGAAAATTCAATACGTACTACACTTGATTCATTAGCTAAAACAGATTATTCTGTAAAACATAAATTATTATTTGTAATTGCTGATGGAAACATCACTGGTTTAGGGAATAATAGACCCACTCCACAAATAATCCAAAAATTAATGAGACCTTATCGTTCTAATGAACCAGAACAACCTAAATCGTATTTTGCAATTGGTGATGGATTGAAGCAACATAATATGGCGAAAGTTAAAATAGGTTATTACGAAGTTGATGATCATCGAGTTCCAATGGTTTTTATTAATAAAGTTGGTACACAAAAGGAAAGAGAAAGATCCAAAACCGCCGGTAATCGTGGAAAACGAGATTCTCAACTTATATTGATGAAATGGCTTAGTCACATTTGTTATGATGATAATATGAGCCCTTTAGAATTTGAATTATTTGTAAAAGTTTATAAATTAACTAAAGTTACGCCTGATAAATACGAATTGGTTCTAATGGTGGATTCAGATACACGTGTTGACCCTGATAGTGTTAGTCGAATGGTATCTGCTATGGAGCGTGATCCTGAAGTTATGGGACTTTGTGGCGAAACAAAGATAGCAAATAAAACAAAAAATTGGGTAACAAAGATTCAAGTAAGTTCAAATTTTGATATTTAAATCAGATTCTTATTATATGTCAATATTTTAATATATTTTTAATATTTTTATATACATATATATCAAAAAGGTTTTTGAATACTATATATCACATCATCTTGGAAAGTCATTTGAATCAATCTTTGGAGGTGTGACTTGTTTACCAGGTTGTTTTTGTATGTATCGTATTAAAGTAAAAGCACCTAAAGATAAGAAATTCATGGCACCAATTCTTGCCAACCCAGAAATCATTTCGGCGTATTCTTCAAATACTATGGAAACTTTACATCAAAAAAATCTTTTGCTCCTTGGAGAAGATCGTTATCTCACCACATTAATGTTACGAAAATTTCCAACACTTAAAATGATTTATGTTCCTAAAGCTATTTGTAGGACGGAAGTACCTGAAAAGTTTAGAGATTTATTAACTCAACGTCGCCGATGGATTAACTCAACTATACATAATTTGATGGAACTGATTTTGGTTCCTCAACTTTGTGGTATATTTTGTTTTTCTATGCATTTCGTAATTTTCCTTGAATTAGTAGGAGCAGTGATATTGCCTTCATTATTTATTTTTGTGCTATATTTGATATATAACGGCTTGCAAGGAAAATCTGTATCATTACCTTTATTATTGATTGCTGTGACTTATTTCTTGCAAATATTTTTGGTAGCCTTTACAAAATTTAAACTAACTTATGTGAAGTGGATGATAATTTTCATAATTGCCACACCAATATGGAACTTCGTATTACCTTTATACGCGTTTTGGCGTTTTGATGGTTAGTTTTATTTTTATTTTTTATAACTATATAACTTATATAAGTTCATTTTATAATAATAATTTCATTCTTTATATTTAAATAGATATTTCATGGGGCAGTGGTGGTGATACTGATGGACATGACAATAGTAATGAAAGGAATGAAGGGAAATTTGATCCTAAAGTTATTCCCGTGAAAAAATGGATTGAATGGAAAAATTTATTACATTAGAACACCTCCGAGAACATATTATAATTATTACCGTCAATTTGATAATAAATGACGTATAAAAAAATATAGTTAAATAATTTATTTAATTAATAAATTAAATAAATATGGGTAAATAGATATAGATGTTAAAATATTATAATGTATAAATTAAATTTGAATTTAAATAAATAAATATATCTTTATTTCCCAATAATTTTTAAAATCTACAAAATAACATTGATAACTGAAATATCTTTAATTTATTTTTCAATGTCACAGGAATATATATAAACATTTAATTCTAAAAAAATAATGATTCGATGAAAATAATTTTCTTTTGACTAAATACCGTTTTTAAAGAATGGTGAATTTTTTTTTTAAAAAAAACTTATAATTAAAATATATTCCATTTCAAATGTTTGTGGATATTAATAATAGGATTATTTAATATCATTCATTTGACAAGCGCGCGCTACTCATTTTTTTTTAATATATCATAATGTGCTCTTGAATATCTTAATTTCGGAAATTTTCATGTTTATATTATAAATTTGTTTCTTTATTTTTTTTTCCGTTTGATCTTATCCCTTGGTATCAATTAGTGAATGAAAGATCAACCCGTTATTTTTTGTTCCGAGAATAACGTAAACTATTTTATAAAAGTTATTTGATTCATTAATATTTAATTCGTTATCCGTAAGAGATCGGCAATAAATAACTATATGATCATTGCAAACTTTATTGTTGTCGTTGTCAATTACGAAATATTTTTCGAAAATATTAAGCAAGAAGAAACCATTTTTTTTTTGTATTTTATACTTTTTTCATCAATTTTCATTTAATTTTTATTACTGCATAGTATTATAAATTGTGTTATATTATACAAATCAGTTTTTTATTGGTAAGATTATTAATTATTATTTATTTCTCTTTTATTCTATATAATTTGCATATAGTAAGATTCAATGTAATTTAAACAGTAATTCAGGGGAAATTATAAATTTCAGGGATCGAAGACAATAAACTTCAACCTGTGACGGTTCAACGTTCTTGAATGACCAATAGTACATGAATTAAACTAAATAAACTGAACCGAAGTCCCTTTTTAAATACAATGAAAATATGTTATTATATATTTCGTTGATAATCAAAAACCATCCGAAAGAGTTGAATATTCAATCAAACAACAAAATACACAATTGAAATAATTATTTCGAAGTTTTTTTTTTTTTTACAAAAATGAAATGATGACCATTAAGGAACAAATTGATCATATCATGAAAAATAACAAAAGAATAATTTATTTTCATTTTATCATCCAATTGATATATTTGATATTTTTGACTTCTTTATATTTTTTTCTTTATTTTTTTTATTTCGAAATTTGTGAAAATTATTCTATTGTTTTTTAGGCGGTGTAGCTTCAATACAAAACAAATTTACAAGTTCAACGTTACTTCAATAAAATCGAATACCAATTGTACGAAATTAGAAGTGTTATCGCCAAATTGATAATAACCCAAATAAAATTATTTTTATTTTTTCCAAAAAACGCGAAGATCATTTCCTTTTTTCCCAGAAAGGAGCGATTTTTCTCAAAAAGCAAAACCATTTATTATATTCTTTGCACAAAACATTTGATGAAAAATTACATATATAATTATAATGTGCAATTGAGCTATGCTTTTTATTAGTCTCTCTAAATATTAATAAAGTGAGTGGTAAAAATATGTAATAAATAATACTCTAACCAATTAAATAAAACTGAAATGGGTATAAATTCATTTTTTTTAAACTTTGAATGCTATTTATATTTAAAATCTTGTGAAAAAGTTAGAATATATTTTTTTATTGTGTTATATAAATTATAATATTTTACTTCGTAACAGAAATTTAAATAATTATGGGCTTTTAGTATAAACTCTCATTGGACAATAGTTGCATACTAAATCAGAAGCACCATTGAGAGAACAACCGTAATGCACCGTTGCGCCGACAGTGATTAACGTTCCAGATGGTGGAAATTTTAAGGGACTGTAAGTTAAAGCCAACGAATACGGATTGGCTCCCACCCACTTACTGCCGCTATTAGGGATAAACATCTGACTAGTATACCCGTTTACCCAGTCAGGAGTGTGCATGAATACATAATAAGATTCTGTGGTATTGGCTTCTTTGCCCACCGAATAAAAGTAAACTTTGTAGTTTCCAACAGCCTGAATGGGAGATGGACTTTTTAAGTCGATAGTAAGAACCAGCGCATTCGTAGAGTCATTACCCCACCTAGGATTTGTAATCCCGGCTATTAAAATGAATAAGTTTAATAGGAGACAGAGATAGTCTAAGCATAAGAAATTAAAAATTATTTCTGGGAAACGTACCACCATCTTTACAATTAAAAATTCCTGTGAAAGCGAAGGCTCTGCCAAGTGCGAGAAATATGAATATTGCGAGAACATAGCAGTTTGACTTCATCGTGTTTATGTTATTTTTGGGTTGTAAAAATTTGGGCTGCATTTATACATTCTTTTTTCTTATTTAAGTGATCGCGTGTAATGATGCATTGACAATAAAGTGTGTTCCCGAAGGATATACCCAAAATGTTGAGAAATTCATTTTAAATAAATTAACATGAACTGATTAACGTTAAAATTTAAAAAGAGTACGAAAATAAAATTTCAATAAACCCATTGGCACTAAAATTTAAAAAGGCCTCGAAAGCGAATTTTCAATTTTGTTGAAAATGAAATTTCGGTTTTGAATATCGCTTTACTATTTAAAAGGGTTTATAACCGAATTTTTTGAAAATAAAATATTCAATTTCAGTTGAAAATTTAATATTGTGGTGGCACAAACATCACGAGGAACGCTGTACAAGAATTATAGCGGATACGGAAGTCACAAGAGATGATGT